GGCACATGCACTCACCAGGAAGACAGAGAGAGAGAGTGAGAGACAGAAATCCAGAAATCACCCCCAGGAGGGATGGCCACGTCGCAATCCCTTCTCCTCCATTCTCCTTTTGGGATCTTGGGCACACACGCACAGGCCCCCAGTGAGGGACGCCAGCGACCTAACCATTATGCCATCTGCTGGTCCCCTAGTTCTTGATGTGACCTAGTTCTTGGTACAGGGTTGAATGGTAGAAAGTCCACAGAAACCGATGGGCACAGTCCCTGGGAACTCAAAAGTTCCCCTAAGAGAAAGGGCAGAGCGCTGAAAAGTAAAGCTTCATCTGAAGGGCCCCGCTTTATTTAAAAAATATATATATATACCTGGAGAGCAAATATTTTATTTACAGAAAGAGTAGATGAAATTTGTGGTAGTATTCCAAGCAGAACTTCTGTAATCCTTAGGGCAATATATAGGCTGGAGCTTTTTTTCATATCCAGAAAATCATGCAAGACCAGAGGAAACTTCTTTGGCATCACCGGTAGGGGGCAGTAGCTCATCAGAGTGATGACAGATAGGTGCATTCCAGCCTATGGAACGTGTTTCCGTTGTTTCACAATTTGGGTATTTGCTGTGCTTCTAATAAATTGCCCCGTCAGGGAAAGGATTTGGAGACTTTTCTTTTTTTCTTAGTATGAACCAGGATTAGACCAAAAATAGCTGCCACTGGGCTACTGAACATTGAAAGGAAACTACCGTAGCTACCATTTAATACTTTTGATTTGTACTCTTAAATTTTCTAGTACCGAGTAAAAGTAGGTTATCCTAATATGATAAAAAGAGTATTGTTATAGAATATGAGAACAGCCTCCTACTCCTGCTTGGTTTCTATAAACTGTGACCTCATTTAGATAGACTGCTTTGGGTTGGTTGCTAGGTTACAGCCAATCACAGCAGCTCGACTTCAGTCACAAGCATTCTGCCTTTAACAGACCAACTTCAGAATGTAACCAATTCAAATTGTTTTACTGTCTCGTTCCTTCACTTTCATTAATTAATTAAACTCCACTAAATTAAATAGTCTTTTTTAAAAAAAAAAAAAAGATTTTTGCTATAGGGTGCATGCACTGGCCACTACTGCCACCTGCTGGGCCCCTATCCAAATTCGGTAATAATGACAAGTCAGGAGTTTGTGTTCTGTATCCTAAATTCTAAGTCTTCTATTATTATTCACACTATTCAGGTAATAGTGTAAGTTTGAGTGTCTCCAAATTAAATTCTTTTACCATTTGACTCAAGAAATTTATAGTGGAGTTAAATGAAAATAGTCCATCCCCACTAAATGAGATACATTTTTATAGATAGAAATTATAGCTATTTTAGAAGGTGTCAATAACTTTTCAAAAAAATATAAGCACATGTCTTTGGCTCAACTCTTAGATGCTAATGTGTATTTTTGACCCTAAGAAGGGAACTTAAAAAAAATATGAATATAATTTACAACCTTGGTTGCTGATTTGCAAATGTTGCAATGTGTTATTTATTCATCTCTAAGTATTAACTCTAGTGGTAACTGCAATGTATTTTTTTAAGATTTATTTATTTTAAATTTTATTTATTATCATTATTCTTCAATTCTGACCAGAGAGAAACAGAAAGAGAGAAAGGGAGAGTGAGACAGTAAGTTGTCAGATTCGGGACCTGAACCAAGGTCGGTCATGTGGAAGTCCAGTGCCTCAACCACCACACCACCTGTCGGCTCTGTTACTGCAATGTATGTTGAAATTAAAATGAATTATAAAACAAAATAAAATTCCCAATTCTTCTGCCACCATATCTGAAATTTTAGAAAATTACTTAATGTACCTGGATAATAATGTTCTCTTTTTGAAAACAGACATTAACTATCAGAATATGAGAATTTTATGAAATAATATAAAAGAAATCTCCTAGTAAAATTTTGGAAAACAAGATATTTGTGAATATTATTATTAACATTTACTTATAGACAGTCTAGTATCTGACTAGAAAATCAAACCTGATGACCCAGTATTGGTTTTGTTTTCTCATCTTTGGGTTTTCCCCACATCCTTTTGTCTGTACCCCTTGGAAGTAATACTCTCTTTTCCTTGAGAGACCTCATTTGTCTACTTGATGAACATTTCCAGGTATTTTCTCTGAGACATAGAGATGGGCACAGAACCTACACTGGAACTGAATGTGAACCTCAACTTTATTCTTTAGTAGCAAAGAATATTCTTTATTCTTGGTTGGTTCAAGCAAGAACAAGTGTGATTCAAGCAACGCAGTTCTGTGATTTGCCAAAGTGAAGCTCAGAGGTGGAAACTATGTTTTAGCTGGGCTTGCTAAAGCCAGGGCTAATTATCGCCTCATCAATATTCCACAGAGGTTAATCACAGTACAAAAGAGGAAGGAATGTTCAAAGAGAAACAGGGTAGGGGAGTGCAGTTTCATCCTTAAAGACCTCAATGTGGTAGCTTTTTCTTCAGTTTTATGCCCTACCTCATTAACCTTCCTACTTTGGTCAGATAGCAAATGCTTTCATTTTCTTAAGCTAAATGAAGTTTCTATTAACAGAGCTAGAGACCTGACTAGTGTAGAACAATTGACCAATTTTATTGAAGCAACCTTTATTCCAACTCTACATGATATGCATGATTCTTCAGCGGTATTTACAAACTAGTGTCTCATTTATTTATTCCATGAAAGAGAGACAGAGAAGCAGGCCTCCCCAGCGCCGTGACCTACCTCCAGTCTCATCCTAACCAGATCATATGAATGCATGTGCACCCCTGCATGCTCAGGGAGGTCCTGTGATGTGAACCCAAGGCCTTTCCTCTGTGGTGCCGTTATATTACCATTGTGCTACTGCATGACCCAATGCTTTCTTCGTTTTAAACTATATTTTCAAGTCTATAAAAACAGCAGCTGGCCATTTTTTGAGTATCATGTTAGGCATGAGAGACATACTAGTGCACAAGCCATCATTCTTGCCATCAAGAGGAAAATCTTTTGGAGTGATAAGTGTGATGATATGAGTAAGCATGGCCACCACAGGACATAAAGAAGGGAGGTTATTCAACATGGGAGGCCGTAGAAGGTTTTCAGGAGGAAGTGGCTTCTCAGCTGAGAACTGAAGATTGAGCTGTCAGGCCTCATCAATCTTGCCTGGTCCAGATACTCTATGAGTGGGGTTCATTTCTATGGAGCTACGTTTTCTCTCATTCTTTAAGTACTGACCTTCAAACTCCCCTGCAGGGTGACATTATTTGGATTGGACCTGTCTTGATTCTGAGGCTATTCGTGTCCAACTGGGACAAGGTAGGACAATTTATGAAGCCAGAAATGCATATATAAAAGTTAGGAGTGAACATCAAGAAGATGAGTTGGACTTCAAGTCAGATTTCTGGTCTCCCTGTCTTTGCGTCTTTCAAATACAAAACCGTTCTTTTCTTTCTTTCCTTCTTTCTCTCTCTCTCTCTCTCTTTCTTTCTTTAAAGAAAGATTTTTGCTATAGGGTACGTGTGCTCACCAGAGAGACAGAGAGAGACAGAGGAACAGAAAGCAAAAAGTCACCCCCCAGCGGGAATGGCCACGCTGTAATGCCCTCTCCCCCTCCTCTCGGGATTTTGAGCATGCATGCACACATGCCTGCCATGAGTTTAAAGCCGCTGAGTTGGGACTCGAACCGTGGTTGACTATGTGGGAATCCAATGATGTAACCATTATACCACCTTCTGGTCCCCACAACTGATATTTTAACTTGTGTGCATGACAGTTGCAAATAATTTACATGTTAACTAGCAGACCTGTGTGCCAATTACACATCAGTCAATGAGCAAGCCTATAGTATGCATATAGAGATCAAAATGACGAGACCCCTAACCTCAGTTGGCTCAAAACAAGGAGCAAAAGGACCTATGTTTAAAAAATATTCCTTATATGGCAGGCACCATACTTGATGAATTCAATATATTGGATCATTAGAAAAGTCATGACATATTTTCTGTTTTTCTATGCATCATGACTTTTCCAATGACCCAATGTTATCATATCTGAGATTATTCGATTTTGTAGATGTGGACATGAAAGCTTGATTTAGCACAGAGCTTGCCTGACTTCTCATAGCTACATAGGGTGAAGTTGGATTTTGAGACAGTTCTATCATACTCCAGAGCCTATTGTCCCTCCACATATGCATAGACCTGAAATGGTGCAATGGAGTATGGGGTATGATAGCGTGAAGCTTAATTTTAGGTGTGACCTTGACCGGATTGAGGGAGGCCTAGTTGGCTGGTGAAACAGTTTTTCTGGATGTGTCTGTGCGGGTGTTTCCAGAGGGAAATGGCTCGAAAGTCAGCGAACTGCCTGGGGGTGATCTGCCCTCTACGTGTGCAGGTGGCAATCAGCTGGTGGACTGGGTGGAATGGGCAGGCAGAAGGGGAGCGACTTCTCTTTCCATCTCTATTCCTGAGGAGGTTACACTTCTACTCTTGCCCTTGGACATCAGAATTCCAGGTTCTTCAGCCTCCGGACTTTGGGGCTTGCCCTAGAAGTTCTTGGAGCTTATAGGCCTTCAGCCTCTGACTGAGAATTATACCATCAATTTCCTCCTACCCTCTTCATTATTATTATTATTGTCATTGTTGTTGTTACTATAGGCACTATGCTGTACCATACTCTCTAGGACTTATTCATCCAACATGACTTTATTTTGCAATTCGAAACTACATACTCTTGTCCTAATGCCTCCCTATTTTCCTGTGCCATCAGCCCCTCAGCCCCTGGAAACCACCGTTTCAGTCTCTGCTTCTATGAATTTTACTTTTTATTTATTTATTTACTAATTTAAATTTTTTGCTACAGGGCACATGAGCTCGCCAGAAAGAGAGAGAGAGAGGAGAGAGAAAGTGAGAAAGCACCTCCCACCCCTCAGGGGGAAGGCCATGCCACAATCCCATCTCCTTTATTCTCCTCTCAGGATTTTGGGCATGCACACACACAACTATTGTGTTTTTCAAGCCACTAGGTCTAAGATGTGAACTATGCAGTTGTAGACATGGAATCCGGCCTCCTTAACCACTACATCACCAAGTGGCCTGGTTCGGCACTATTTTAGTAAGCTAAGAGTGTTGGCATTTACCTAGGAGAGAAAACTTTGATGTATCTGCTTTGGTTTCACAATTATAATTAATACTAGAGTCATTAGATTTTCCAATTATTTCAGGTCCATTAAATATTACATACTTCATGGATTCAGTGCTTGAAATATTTATGGGGGAGCCAAGCCTGAGGAAAAAAAAAAAAAGATTAAAATGAGTCATTTGCTACCATATGATCCAGCAATTCCACTCCTGGGTATCTACCCAAAGAATAGGAATACACTCAGTTGGAAAAGTATTTGCCCATCCATGTTTACTGAGGCATTCTTCACAATTGCTAAGACATGGAACCATCCCAAATGCCCATAAGTAGATGAACGGATTGAAAAAGTGTTGCACATATACACTATGGAATACTACTCAGCCATAAAAAACAATGAGATCCTGGTATTTTATATAAAGTGAGTGGATATGGAAAATTTACTGCTAAGCAAAGCAAGCCAGACTATGAAAGAGAGGCATTGTATGTCTCCACTTAATATATACCAATATCTGTACTCTATGGCAGAAAACAAAAGACTAAAAGACATGAAAGCATGGAGAACAATTGTGGCTAATAGAGACAGTGTGGGAGGAGGGTGGGAAGTGGAGGTTGGTGAGAGGAAAGGGATCAAGGGGGAAGAGACAGTGTGGGAGGAGGGTGGGAGGTGGAGGATGGTGAGAGGAAAGGGATCAAGATGAAAAAGAAGCAAAGCATTTAAGGGACATGAAAATGGAAAATTATCTGTGGATGATAATGTGTATGATAATATCTTTAACTAGACAAATATGCAATGTATTCATGCTGGGAAAATTTATTTTGCAAGCTGTAATGGCATATAGCGATCGAATGTATAACAATTTCAAAAATAAATAAATAAAATGAGTCCTTAGCTTCATTTATCTCAAAAGCCAGACATTACCTCACAAATCTAACATTTCCAAAACTTATTATTCTTTTTCTTAATAAATTATTTTAGGTAAAATAAAACAAAGTGACAATGACCATGGAGATTTTTTTTCTACTGCCATAAAAATTTGCTAGAGTTCTTAACTCAAAGCCAAGTTATCAATTTCACCCAAGAGGTCAGAGTAAATTGTATAACTAGGATGACCTTGAATCTAAGCTTGTCCAAGCTACTTGCTATCTACCTTGGTATCTTGATGTAATTACCAATAGCACACTCTCAGAAGTGTTCTGGTTTGGACAGTAAATCATATGGTCACCTTGATGATAACTCACTGAAAACACTGTCATGGTCTTCCTTAGTAAAGAGTATTTGCTTGTATTATTTACGTAGATGACATGCAAAGTAGCAGAGACAAAGCAGACTTTACCTTCCAAGGGGCCACTTTGTTTAACCTTACATAGGGATATGCCCTTCGTCTTTATTTGACAGTGTCCTTACACCTGCTTTCAATTTCTTAATGTCCTAGGAAGGTGTGGGGCAATATTATGAAGGGACAGGAGAGCTTAGTATGGCTTCTGAGTTTCTACTTCCTGTCCTTGCCATTGTAGTTTCTATATGGAATAGATTTTTTTCCTCCAAAACAAAAACAAAAACTGAAAACACGAATTGGCTGAGGTAGAGACAATGATCCCAGAATTTCTTGCCTTTCTTGTATACATTTTTGACCATAGGTGTGGGGGGGAGGATGACTGTAAGAGAAGTGACATCGAAATTTTCATACTAGATATTACTATTATTGGTAGGAAGGAAAAGATAGGTCAAACTCACAGGCCAAGCTGCAGAAATTCGATACATTCTCTGTTGTCTGATTTCTTTTGTTGAGAGTACAGTTCAGACCAACCCAGAGGTGAGGTGATGGAAGACCACTAAAGAACAGCTGTAAACAGAAGGAACACACCAATTACAGTTGCTTTGTTCTGCCGGAAGCCCATTCCAGTGCAACAGAACCAGTTTAGTATCATAAAACTCCACTCAACGATCACATTGTTTTTCTTTTCTTTTCTTTTCCCCCTCAGTAGAATTAAATCTTCTCAAGCTTCTGTCTTAAGATCAGGACTGCACTCTAACATTCAGCAAATAACAGCCATGAACGGAAGTTATCAGAAAAGCTAAGCCTCACTCTTCCAAATACCAACATGTCTATGTATGCAGAGATTCTCATTTTCTTTCTTCTTCTTTTTTTTTTTTTTCTTGGAAAGGTTTTTACTATAGGGCACGTGCACTCGCCAGAAAGACAGAGAGAGACAGAAAGTGAGAAAGCACTCCCCGGGGGGATGGTCACACCACAATCCCTTCTCCTCCATTCTCCTCTCAGGATCTTGGGCACGCACGCACATGCACCTGGCGTAAGTTTAAGCCCCCGGGTCTGAGACTCGAACTAGGGTCAAATACATGGGAGTCCAGCAACATGGCCATTATGCCAACTGCTGGTCCTGAGGTTCTCATTTTCTTTCTCCATTTACTGTGGAATCGAGACCCATTGCTCTCTTCACCAAGTCTTATCCTGAAATAAGTATTCATGTCTTTAAAACTCTTCGTGGTACTATGGATTTCTTCTTACTATATTAAAGATACCTTGTGTTCAATTAATGTTTAAGATTATTAAGGGAATAATTTGGAGTTTAAATTTTATTTTGTTGTTTCTTTCTCATTACATTTCTTTCTTTCCTTCATTATTTCGTTTTTGTTTTTGTTAAAGGGTTTATATGCTCGCCAGAGAGAGAGACAGGCAGAGAGAATGAGAATGCACCCCACGTGGGGAATGGTCACCTTGCAATCCCTTCTCCATCTTCCTCCTTTCAGGAATTTGGGCACGCATGCACAAGTGCCTGGCATGTTTCTCAAGCCACTGGCTCTGAGACTCAAACTATGCAGTTGGCCATGTGGAATTTGGCTGCCTTACCGCCAGGATATGGAACTGGCCTCCTTATTTAGATTTCAAGTCATTTTAACTGTCCTTTTTGAGCACTACACTTTTCAGTTTTTGTAAAAGCAATGCACATAGTAAGATCCAAATACAAACATATAATCCACATAACTGACGATTCTTTTAGTTATAAAGGTTAATATTTCATTCAAGACAGAAAACAGGGAGGGTTCTTAGTGGAATGAATACAGTACAGAATGACTTCCTTGCTTCCGCTGTGTGAGTTCTTACATGTACTGGTGATGACAACATGGTAAAGCCAGCTTTATTCTAGGTTTTTGACCACCATGAAGGGTACTGCTCTAATTATAACTGCTTTTGAAAGTGAAAAGGTTGCTAATTGATAATATGTTAGGACAAAGGGTGGAATCTAGGCGTGTCCTGGGCGATCAGGCAAGTGACTGGCTAAGAACCCTTACCTGTGTCAGTCTTGGTTATTTAAACCACAGAAACTGACCTCTGCAATGAATTTGATCATAATCACCTGGCCTATAGACATGAGCAGCATCATGTGACTGGCATCGTAGCCCTTTCTTGGCTCAATACTAGATGTGTATTCTGGATTTATGGTAGTTTGGAAACAGGAAAAACTGTGTCTGGGAGCCCGAGATGGATTGCCAAACTTTATTGGGCTATGTTTCCATTAAGTGTGAATAGGTGTCCTGATGTAGCATTTTATTGGTTTAATTGGAAAAGAAATTTGTTTCCTATCTAGGAGAGAGTAAAAAATGGTAACTTTCAACAAACCATACAGATAAATATTCATTCTGCAGAATATAAAGAAAAGAAAGGATAACAATATTAGACCAGGACCTAATTTTTAGTGTTCTAAAGAATGTTATAAGGGAAAAGGAGACTCGCACTTTCAAATAAAGAGCCTCCTTTAGGTTCTGAAAGCACTTTTTGTTGTTTGATGTATATGGATGATTAAATAAATAAATATTAAATAAAAATAAAAGTACCAAGTAAACAAATAAATAGCTTACCAGGTCTACCACAACTAGAGTGTGTGACAGTTAGAAAGAAACCGCCATCATTTCTCAGTATAGAAAATAAAAACTGTCCATTTGTGATGGAGTCCTATGTCAAAATTCATAATGAGACTGAAAATGCAACAATCCAGGAACAGCCTGGTGTTCATGAATTTCTCTGCTTTTATTTAATTATATTGGGTTGACAGGAAAGTTATGACACACTTTTGCACTGAAAAATATGTCATGAGTTTCCTGACTATCTAATATGTTGTATTGACTTCTGGGTGAAGGTGAGCTAACATTCACTCATTCACTGGATTCCAATCAAACCGTTTTCAAATGGGTGACTGAAATTGTATTATAAAGCAAGGTACTGGATATAAAATACAATGATGAAAAAGATGTTTCTACCCTGAAGAAACTAAAATAATAACAAGAAAATAATGAACATTACAGTAACTTTATCTATGTTGGCTATTTCCAATAACTGGCTCTCCTGCCCTTTGTCCTTACCCATTCCTCTGAGTGGAAGTCACAGAAGAATCACAAGTTGTGTCTTTGTATTTAAACTTCAGTAACACTTGTAGGATTGGCGTATGGCAGATTTGTGTCTTTGTATTTAAACTTTAGTAACACTGGTAGGATTGGCGAATGTGCAGATTTGTGTCTTTGTATTTAAACTTTAGTAACACTGGTAGGATTGGCGAATGTGCAGATTTGTGTCTTTGTATTTAAACTTTAGTAACACTGGTAGGATTGGCGAATGTGCAGATTTGTGTCTTTGTATTTAAACTTTAGTAACACTGGTAGGATTGGCGTATGTGCAGATAAGAGAGAGAACTTACAGACTATAACATGTATAACATATACCAGAGTATAATTTTTCATCTGTGGATAACTTAAGGGGGAAGAGATGCTCATTATTTAGTGTACATCAGTGGGGCATTAAAACATGCCTCAAAACTAAAAGTAAATCACTACCGTCTTCTTTCTCGTTATACAAGAACCTGAAATCAAAATAAAGTAGGAAATACCAAAGAAATACTTTTCCGTAGCTTGTCTGTTATGATCTGTCTCAAGAGCTAGCAACTCTCCTAATAATTGTACATCTTTGCTATTTTTAAAAAAGAATTATTTATTTTATTTGTTGTTGTTATTATTATTTTAATTTGACCAGAGAGAGACAGAAAGAGAGAGAAAGGGAAAGTGAGAAAGCAAGCCACCAGGTCTGAGACTTGAACCATGGTCGGCCATGTGGAAGTCCAGCACCTGAACCACTGCGCCATCTGCCAACTCCTATCTTTGCTATTTGAACTTGTGAATCTTCTGTGACCCCACTCAGAGGAACGGGTAAGGACAAAGGGTAGGAAAGCCAGTTATTGGAAACAGCCAACACAGATCCTCTTACTTGAACCTTAACAATACCAAGACGTTTCTTTCGATGCACCTCACACTGTAACACAGACCTGGGTTAGAGTCCAATTCTGTTCATTGTCCATCTTCATCAGGGAGCAATATTGTTTTCTGCAATCACTGGTATTTTTCTCAAAAAATTTTTGTTCAGTAGAAAAGTAGTAACAGCTGTTTTGGTGCCATATCCATGAGTCTGAGCATAGGTTAAATGCGAAGACTGAAAAAAAAACAGGAAAGGCCTATAAAGGTACTGTCTGTGCATTTGTGTAATGTGTGCACAGACAGACTAGCACACATATAACAGAATCTTAAAACATTTGCATTCTAGACGGAAAAGGTTAATAAAATTATCCATCGAATGAGATGATTATTTAAAATAAGGAGAGCAGGAAGAGACTATGATCTGAAGAGAAGTGGGATTCAGATCTGGAATAATCTGAAGACTGAAGATAGAAGAAAAATCATAGACATATAGGAAAAAAATATGATGAAGGCATGAAAAGCAAGCAGAAAAATTCAGTGTTGTCTAGATTATTGCAACAGGGCCCAAAGTCAGTTTTATTCTGCTAGATGTTTCACACTTCACTGTTTCCAGAGTGAGAGTGAGAAGGAAAGAAAAGGAAATCTAAAGTCTGAAACCAAAAAAGAAAAAAATGTCTATAGAAAATATGAAAATCTACAAATTTTGTTATCTGTACCAGAGAAGACAGGAAAAAACGGAGGAGGAAATGCCATGAAGGAATAAATGAACTTATAAATAATAGTACATACTTTCCTTAAATTTGAAAGGCATGAGCTTTCAGTGTGAAAGTCCACAGAGTGCAGAGCAAATAAATCATTGAAAACACTCAGACCTAGAATATCTTACTGTTTCAGTGCCCCCAAATAGAGTAATTATCTTTAAAGTTCAATTCCGGTCATTTTTTGAAACAAAAATCACAATAAAGATAGATCTATAAACAATATTGCTCTTTAAGGGCCGATGAAGCAACTTTCCCAATATTATCTGTGAAATTAATTTTTTTTCTTTTTTGGGCGGGGAGGGAAGTCTGTATTTTATTTTGTCAAGTGTTGATGAAAGCAACTCATATGGTATTGCTTTTATAGTCTGCTTCATATTATTTTTTCATTTTTAGATTACTATAACCATTTTTACAGTGTAATGTTTCAGTACAGAAATAAAATGTGTAATGATTAAATCAGGATAACTAGTATGCCCAGCATCTCAACTATTTGTAACATTACAATGATTAAATCAGGGTAACTAGTATACCCAGCACCTCAACCATTTGTAACATTGTATGTAGTAAATTGTTGTTAACCACATTCTCTCAACTTTAGTTTTATTTATTGTTTCTTCTGTCTACAATTTCGTTTCCTTTAATCAACATCATTCTAATCTCCCATCCCATATTCTCCCCAGTGTCCTGTAATCCTACATCTCTCTGTTTCTGAGGTCATTTTGTGAAACTAATTTTTCTTTTTAGAGAGATTTTTGCTATAGGGCATGTGTGCTCACCAGAGAGACAGAGAGAGACAGAAAGCGAGAAATCACCCTCCAGGGGTGATGGCCATGCCTCAATCCCTTCTCTTCCATTCTCCTCTCAGGATCTTGGGCACACACGCACATAGTGAGTTTTACACTGCGTGAGTTTTACGCTTTCAGGTCCAGGACTTGAACCATGATCAACTACATGGGAGTCCAGTGATGCAACCATTACATCGTGTGCTGGTCTCAGTGAAACTAATTTTTAACCTTCGAATTTAACCAAAATTAAGGCCTTTTTTCAGACATGCTACGATGCAAAACACTTATCACCTATTCTTCCAGCTAAACTCCATTAAAATGTGAGGATAAAATAAAAGTGTGAAAGAAGGAAAAAAGTCATGGGGATTCAAGAAACTAAAAATTTATAATGAGAGAGATATATCAATATTTATGTATTAGTTTTATTAAAATAAGATAATAGTTAAAGAAACTTTCAAGAAATATAAGTGTGGTTTTTCATATAAAACTTTGTGATCACTGCATTCCTTTTTTTTTTTAAGATTTTTGGTCATAGGTTAAGTATACTTGCTAGAGGGAGACAGAGAGAGATGGTGAGAGAGGGAAAGTAAGAAATTACCCTCCAACTTCTCCCAGGGGAATGGCCATGACATAATCCCTACTCCATTCTCGTCGCAGGATTTTGGGCACCCACACACATGTATCTGGTGTATTTTTTGAGTCACCAGTTCTGGGACTTGAACCACAGAGTGAGCCATGTTGGATCCAGTGCCTTAACTACCACATCACTTGCTGGGTCACATTCCCATGTTTTGTTTTGTTTTGTTTGCTGTTGTTGTTTTTCCTTTTGTTTTTAGAGATAGTCCAAGATTCAGAACCCAGGGAGAAGGGTAGGGGAACTTGGAGAACCCTGTTACAGATGAGACTATTTGAAAGAGACTATTTCACTTACCATCTTTCTTCTCCTTTAAGTCTTCGCAGTAGTTTGAGGTATAGTTGTTCAACTCTATTAATGTGTTTTCTGATACAATTTTAAAAATGCTGTGCTCACTTGAGACATTTTTAAACTTAGCCATAAATAATGTCCAGTTTCTCTCCAACTGTTCCATTCGGTTTTGTTGTATTTCAAATGCTGTTCTGTTGCACAAGAAGAGTTCTTGGTAGTCTAAAATTAATATTAGGAGATTAATAATTTGAACATAGAGTTTACCAACAGATTATATTATAATCACATTAGTTATTATTTTAAAGTTTAATGGAGGGCTCATATTATGATACCTAAAGAGGAATAAAATACTGACTTTATATACTCCTGGTACTAAAATTTGAGATAAAAATGGTTTATGTTACTCAATAGCACTCATTCATCTTTAAAGAAATGTTCAAATCATTTTAAAAAGATCCTTGTGAAGCATAGATACAAATATAAAAGCGTATGTAATTCAGTTGGTAGTTTTAGAAAAAGAAAATTACACGTTGAGGCAGTGTCATATCTTTGTGAGCCTATGTGTTGTGAATTTGAAGTTCTTGGACAGATGTAGTCATAGTTTAAGGATGTAGAACTGGTAAACACTAGCCTCAGTACAAAAAAGATGAATTTTATAAAAGAGGGATCATGACTCTAAAAACGTCTAAGGATTCAGAAAACCTTCTCCCCAACCCCGCACAGGGCACATGTACTCACTAGAGAGAGACAGAGAGAGGGAAAGTGAGAAATCACCCCATATGGGGGTTATGGCCTTGCCACAATCCTTTCTCCTTTATTCTCCTCTTGGGATTTTGGTCACACGTACATGCATGATTCTCAAGCCTGCAGTCTGGGACTCAAACCTTGGTCAACCATGTGGAGTCCAGTGCCCTAACCACCACACCATTTGCTGGTCCTAAAAAACCTTTTAACTTCACCATTTTATGGATTACAATAATATAATCTGTTTTTGTTTTGTTTTGAGATAAACTAATGTTAGTTTACCAGCTGGCCCAGCAACGTAAAAAGACTTTTTAAAGGTTTATTTATTTATTTATTTCTTCCATGAGAGACAAAAAGAAAGAGATGAGACAGAAAGAGAAACAGGTATCCCTAGAGGGTACTCCTGCCAGCAGCTGCCGGCAGCCTCAGCCAGTCTGGATCACAAGCGTATGTGACCATGGCAGCTGTGCTCAGGGAGGTCCCAGGATGAGAACCCAGGGCCTTCCTCATGAAGATTAGCTGCGTTCACACTGCACAACTGCATGGCCCCAAATCCTTAACATTTAAAGTAAGTTTATGAATATTATGTGGAATAAAACAAGAAACAAAATATTAGCAATTATTTTCAATCACACCATGCTCTTTTCATTTCCTCAGGAGGCCTTTGCACGCACTTTGCAGAAAAGAAAGGGGAGGAGAGAGCCTTTCTGACTAGCATCAAGGTTTGAGAAGAGATGGTCCCAAATATAGACTGGCTAGGAAAATCCTGTTACTTATCAACTAAAGAGTGTCTATTTAAAGAAACAAATTTTGCAGCAGTTGGGAAGGTAATCAGGGAACTGAAGAAGATATGGTAAAAATAGCAATATACGAATACAAACACAAGCAAAAGACAAAGGAGTATTACAATCATAAAGTGTAAAATAAAATGATAAATATATGATCAAAAATGCCTCACTGATCACTTATAAACTGTATAGAATTAGGAAAATAACTTGAGCTTCCTCTGACCCTGGAAATTAAAGAAAAAAGTGTAATTACAGGGACCAGCAGTTGGCATAATGCCTATGTTGCTGGATTCCCATACAGTCAACTGCGGTTCGAGTCCTGGACCCAGTGGCCTAAACTCACACCAGGCGTGTGTGCGTGCGTGCCCAAGATCCCAAGAGGAGAATGGAAGAAAAGGGATTGTGGTGTGGTCATCCCCCCCTGGGGGACGATTTCTCACTTTCTGTCTCTCTGTCTCTGTCTTTCTGGCGAGTGCACGTGCCCTGTAGCAAAAAACCTCTCAAAAAAAAAAAAAAAAAGTAACTACAGTATATAGTAACTACAGTATAAAGATTAAACGAGATAATGTGAAAACACTGTACTCATAAATGTTAAGTAATATATTGTAAGAGTATTTACTTAAATAATTAAATGAAATGTTGATATAAATTATACCTCTTCTATGATCCCCCAAATATTAATGCATGTCTATAGATAAAGATATTTTAAAAATGTTGTCAGCAGGTGTGTGCACTTGCCAAAGAAAGAGAAAGTAAGAAATCACCATCCAAGGGGGATGGTTGTGCCACAATCTCTTCTCCATTTCTCTCTTTGAGATTTTGGACCCATGTTCCCAGTGTATTCCTCAAGCTGCAGGCCCAGGACACAAACCACATAGTCCACCATGTGGGATCCAGCTGCCTTAACTACCACACCATGGATTGGTCCAATGGATGTCGATATTTAAACACTGTTACTTTTTATGATGCATTATCAACAGCTTTCATTTTTAAAAAAGATTAAGTTTACTCATTTGCTTTTTCTGAGAGAGAGAGAGAGACAGGCACCCCCAACAGAATTCTCATGCCATATCCACTCCGTTTCAACTGGTCTGGATCACAGGCATGTGAGTGTGCCCAGCATGCTCAGGGTGGTCCTGGCACCCAAACCCAGAACCTGCCCCATGCCACTGCACGACTGCCTGCCCCCACCAATGTTTCTTCTGCTTTTCTGTAATTTCAAGTTTTTACAATGTACATGTATTAGATCTTTTTTGAAATAACATATTTTAAAATACTTGGGATCCCCTGCCTCTCTCCCCTTTTAAATGTGAAACAAGCTGATAAAAATAGGTTAGGATTTGCCTATTCTTATGAGATATCTTAGCTTTCATATTCAAAAAATCCTATTAATCCTGCTTGTTTATTCATCTATGTATTTGTTCACTCATTTATTTATTCATTTACACAGTCACTCAACCAAAAAGTACAAAGAATGAGTTGTGATAAGCTGTGCTTATCAGAAGCCTGCAGTTTCTTGGATAAAAGGGGTGCCACACATCAGTTATTATACGAATGTCAGGAACAATTATAGAAACCCAGGAAATCAAAGTGACCTGAAATTCTTGCCATTTCAGGAAAAATTAAGCATTGGTAAGAAAATTAGAAGAAAAGATCAAGAGAAAGATAATGGTGTTCTGAAAGGTATTTGCAATTATAATGAGATGGGGATGGTGAAAATGTCATGAAAATGAAGAATTTTATCTTATTATTATTATTATTATCATTATTTTAAATCACACATCTGTTTTATTGTTAAGTCATAAAGAGATAGCAAAATTAAAAGCAAAATTACAGGGTAAGACTTAACAAAACTACTAAGAGCAACAGAAGAAGTGAAATGGGACCAGGCGCAGGGCAGTATGAATGAATGAACATGGGAGAGGCGAAGATGGGGAGAACAGTGAGAGGATCTGGTGAAAATTTTGACCTTAGACAAGAGCCTCGGTAAAGAAATAACGGGTAAGATTTCTAAGCCCCACTATGTGCTTAAGAGTCATCCTCGCCATTGACGCTGTCTGTCATCCTCTCTTTCCTCAGCCTCTTCTTCATCATCCTTGATCAACTCCAGCTGTTTGTTTGCTCTGTTCCTGTTTTGATTTTTTTCCAGGTTTTCTTGTTTGTTTGCTCTGTTCCTGTTTTGATTTTTCTCTAGGTTTTCCAGGAAAGAATCCACTTTTTGTTTTATCTGGGTCAACTCATTCCTAATGGCCTGAATGTCATCTCCTTTCAACTTTCTAGACTTGGAAGATGATCCTCATTGTTCACTCTTAGAATTGAAGGTTTTTCCACTCTGCGAAGTGTTTCCTGATGCACACTGGCGTTTCGAGGGCACTACAGCACGAGCAATAGGAGGTGGCGGTGGAACTGTGCATCCTGTCATCATAATTGCATTGGACGTCATAGTCCAAGGCAAAAGAAGAGCTGTCCATCTCCGCTGCAGGTCGTCTCACACCTGCTTTTCCTCGGTTCACTTTTGGCTCTGCAGCCAGATTAATATCTGAAACCTGGCCAGCAGTCATCCTGCCGTCCTCTCCTGCCACAGCAGCCCAGGCATCCCTCTCATTAACATACTGAACAAAGGCAAGGCCCTTATGAGCAGAGCTACCCGCAATGCTGCCATACTTCAAGAAGATTGCCCCCACATTAGACTTCTTGACCACAACAGTGTTGAGATTCCCAGTGAGCACACGGGACTTCATGGAGAGGATCTGTCTTGTTGGTAACACTGCTGGTCATTGCAATTGATGGTAAGATTCCTCACAAAGCCAAAAAGCTCAAGCAAAGTTCCCCTAACTGAATATGTTTCAAGAGATTTGTAACCAAGAAGGTGAGGGAAAAGAGATTCGATTCTGAATCTCCCGCTCCCAGGTTCCGGGCAAAGAAACCGACTGCAGCTGGAGGTAGGAACTGCGGCTACAACTACTCCGTCTCCAACTCTTCACAAAATCATTATTGTTATTTTTATACATGTGATCACTATACATCATTTGACTTGTAAAGAGAATTTACCCAACAAGAAATACACCTCAGACCAGTCCAGTTGGGAATACTATACACGTTATCATCAACAGGTAATAAATCATTACTATGTCAGTCCCGGATCTGGTGGCTTGCTTTCTCACTTTCCCTTTCTCTGTCTCTCTCTCTCTCTCTCTCTCTCTTTTCACACTGTCTCCAGAGTCCATAACTATTTTCAAGGCTTTTATGTCCTCCAATCTTTCAGCCTCTACCATAGAGTGTGGACAATCAGTATATTTTAAGTGGAGACAATCTCAATGAAGAATTTATTTTATATAAATAAGATTTTCATGAAAACTCAGTGTAAAATTCTTCTTTTAGACTTCTTTTGGTTTTATAACAACAACAACAACAACAACAACAGACAGGTTAAAGGCCAGTTGATGGCTCAATGGTAATGCAGCTGGATCCACATGGAAAAGGTCCTGGGTTCACATCCTGGACCCTCTGTAAGCATGGGGGGCAAGATGCATTCCTGGGATCCAGTCCAGCTGGGACAGGGGGTGAATCAGAGTGTGAAGACCATGTTGAAGGTTCTTCTCTCCTTTTCTCACTTTCCCTTCCTCTCTATGAAAAATTAATAAATAAACTTTAAAAATAGGCTTTACTTTGCTACCTTTGGTATTA